TGCCCATGGCAGGGGGTTGAGACTAGATGATCTGTAAGGTCCTTTCCAATCCTAAATTCTATGATTCTATGATTTTAAAAGTGCAATCCTAAAGAAAAAGTCTGACACAAAGTAAGCAGAACAGGTGGTCATTGCACGGATAAACTTCTGCTGCTATAAAAGCAAGATCTGGTGATGAAAGTATTTCTACCTCATGCTGAAATGCAGTCATGGCTGCCAGAACACATTTAATGTAAATGCAAACAAAACTTAGCAGATTTAAAAATGATACCCATGATGCTCTGCACTGAGACAGTAGTCTCTAAATCAGTTTATTTCCCATGTAGTGGACAAATTCAGTCAGTGTAATGATTTTTCTGCATGTTGAATAGTAAAATCAAACTCCTCACTTTCCCCACAAGGAATGTGTTCATTGTGAGAATATGGGTCTTGCAATACCCCTTAAAGCTCTCAATTTAAAGGCTCATCCTAGAAATTTGGAACTGTAACATGAGGGTCTTTTGCCACTACTAATGACAACGACACTAGGAACGGCTAAAGAGCAGTTATATGTGGAAGTAGAACAGTACAACAGCTCAGTTAAGGAAAAGGGTTTTAGTGCACTTTGCTCATTTTAGCCAACATGCTACATTGCCCTTTTCGAGTACAAAGTAGACTCAATGATTTCCATTGCAAGAGAGAGATGACTCAGCAAGCAAAGCACTGTGTCAAGCTGCCTTCTTTCTTTTCCTTAGACAGTTAAGACAGAAATTTGCAAGACATTGCACAATTCTTTGCTTTTATTAAGTGAGAAAGTCTGACTTGTAACATTATCACACTAGTCAGAAATGCTTCAGTGATGAAAGTCAATGCTGGGTCACCCCAAGGCCTCATTCTACAACATTCATTTACAAAGAAATATAAGTGATATTCAACACACCCAAAAAAACATTCTTTGCTTCCTTCAGGAAAAAAAAGTCCTGTTGTTCTCCATCTAGTGGGTATGTTACTATATAAATTAACATTTATTTATTTTTGACAATAAATCCCCAAAACCTCATGAGAGCAAAGTGGGCTTTCTACAGGTGTTACAGAAGTAAGCCTTCAAAAATAATCATCATCTGATGTATCACTGCTGGTCGTCTCAGAATCCTCATTCTCCAGAGCAGGTTTGAAAGTGCTGTTTCTCCAGGAACAAAATTTAAAATTACAGACGAGGCCATTTCTCCAAATGCCATTCTTTCGAAGGCCATTTTTTTGCAGCTGAAACATGAAAACATGATACATTTAGAGAAAGAAAGGAAAAGCCGAACAAAACAATCTGTTGCAATTCAACAGTCTCTATGTCTTCATCTCTGGGCTACACTTTTTCATGTATACTAACGTTTTCATATATACATTCAAAGAAAAAGTCCTGTGAGAGCCTTCACTTCTGGAACAGACACCTGAATCCAAGTGCCTCCAATCGTGCTAAGCTCCTGCATTCAACAAGAGCTCATCTCTTTTCACCTACTTCCCCACACATCTTGCCCCAGATATCCCTCCTCCCAGATGGTCTCTTCTTCTGGATAGATAGAAAGCTGAACATGAGGCAGCAGTGTGCTCAGGTGGCCAAGAAGGCCAAGGGCATCCTGGCCTGGATCAGGAACAGTGTGGTCAGCAAGACCAGGGAGGTGATTCTGCCCCTGATCTCAGCCCTGGTGAGGCCACACCTTGAGTACTGTGTGCAGTTCTGGGCCCCTCAGGTCAGGAAGGATATTGAGGTGCTGGAGCAGGTCCAGAGAAGAGCAACAAGGCTGGTGAAGGGACTCAAGCACAACTGCCATGAGGAGAGGCTGAGGGAGCTGGGGGTGTTCAGCCTGGAGAAGAGGAGGCTCAGGGATGACCTTATCACCACCTACAACATCCTGAGAGGAGGTTAGAGTCAGGTGGGGGTTGGTCTCTTCTCCCAGGCAACCAGCAGCAGGACATGAGGGCACAGACTCAAGCTCTGCCAGGGGAGGTTTAGGTTGGATATTAGGAAAATATCTTTTACAGAGAGAGTAGTCAGACATTGACATGGGCTGCCCAGGGGGAGGATGGAGGATCCCTGGAGGTCTTCAAGATGACACTAGATGTGGCACTTAGTGCCATGGTCTAGTAACAACAGTAGGGTCAGACATTGAAATGGGCTGCCCAGGGGGAGGATGGAGGATCCCTGGAGGTCTTCAAGATGACACTAGATGTGGCACTTAGTGCCATGGTCTAGTAACAACAGTAGGGTTGGCCTCAGTCTTTGAGGTCTTTTCCTATCCAGTTGATTCTATGATTCTTTTGACACAGTCCTTATTCCCACAGTGCTGCAAACACCTGGGCTAACAAGGGCAGGGTCAGCAATGAGGAAGGAGCTCAGAAGAGCAGTGAGGAATGGGTATCACAGTTTGTCTGCATGTTGCAATTGTATAGCCAAAGACATTGAAGAGAAAGGAAACAATGGATTCTACAAGAAAGGAACTCCTGCATTTCCACACAGACTGCAAAGGTGGGCAGGAAGACAAGCATTTAAGAGCATAGTACTCCAAATACTCTAATAAGTATGAGTGTGACTAGACTTGGAGCAATACCAAATGCTGATGTAAAACCACACCTCACTGACCCCACCAGGTACACACAACATTCCTAATTTTAAAAAAAAACAAAACAAAACCAAAACAAAACAACAAACAAACAAGATAAAAAAAACAAGTCTAAATTGCCTTTTCATACTTTGTTACTAGCAAATTAAATGTTACTCAATTTCCAGCAAAGAAAATGCAGATCTTGGAGAACCAAGGGAACTGCATAAAAACCTTGAAAGAAAACTCTCTTTCCTTAGGCAAAGATGAGGAGCTGGAAAGCCTGTGCAACTGTACTACCAGCAATGCAGAAACTACTCAGAAGCACTCCCTTTCCCTTCCCTTAATATGTTGTGAACAGGCCTTACCTAAACCAGCACTGGCATCCTACATTTTCAAAGCAACTGTGCTTCCAAAAGTACAATACTGAAATGGTATCAAACCAGCAAAATCCCTAACCATCAGAATTACAGCAGATTCTCCTCAAAGGTCAGCATTTAGGGTAGCCAACTACAGGTTTACAGTGGTACATTAACTTGGTGTTACCTTTTCCTTAATGACTTGGAACTCCTTCATCTCATCCTCTGTTAATGGTGCAAATGCTTCATCATTTTCAATGTCTTCCTGCCAGCCCATCTCCTTTAACAACCTTTAAATGAAAAAGGACAACATAAAGAAATCTGATACACACACACTCAAGACATCTCAAGCTCTGCCTATATATATGGCTAAAGATCTATGACAAATGCATTGATTAAATAGTCCGGGTTTTTCTTAAACTAACTCTTAGACAGAAGCCTTACAAAAGATAGGTAAAGCATAGAAGTTGAGTTGAGAAGCTGAGTGCCTGTTTTAGCACTACCTGTGGTAAAGACTACACCTTCATTTTAATGCGAGAGATCTGTGTCAGGTGCCTGACATTATAATGCCACACATTCTGACATCATTCTGTAGAAGATGTGCCAATACTGTTACTAGGCACGCAAAAGTATTTTGGGAGTTAAGCTGGTGCCTTCAAGTACAATTTACCACGAAATGGCTTACTGGAACATCTGTCCACATGCATGCTGAGCTCACAGACAAAGGGCTGGGACAGTATGGAGACACAAGCTCTCTGGGACACCACAAAGGAAAAGCATTTGCCAGAAATCCTGTGAAGGCCATTTACCACACTTTAAAAATTCATTTGAATTGATAAACAAGAGTTAGATTTGACTCTCATCATCCAGTCAAAAAATCATCAGCCTCTAGCAGCCAAATATTTTATAGAACCATAGAATATCCTGAGTTGGAAGGGACCCACAAGGATTATTGGGTCCAACTCATGGCCCTGCACATGAAAACACCAAGAATCACACCAAGTACCCAAGAGCATTGTCCAAATGCTTCTTGAACTCTGTCAGGGTTGGGGCTGTGACCACTGCCCTGGGGAGCTGTTCCAGTGCCCAAACACCCACTAGGGCAAGAACCTTTCTCTAATATCAAGCCTAAATGTGCCCTGACACAGCTTCAGGCCACTCCCTTGGGTCCTGTCACTGGATGCCAGAGAGAAGAGACCAGTGCCTGCCCCTCCACTTCCCCTCATCAAGGAAGCTGTAGACCATGATGAGGTTTCCCCTTAGTCTCCTCCAGGTTGAATAAACTAAGTGAGCTCAGTCACTCCTCATATGGCTTCCCCTCTAGACCCTTCACCACGTTCATAGCCTTCCTTTGGACACTCTCTAGTAGCTTTATACCTTTTTTACATTGTGATGACCAAAACTACACTCAGCACTCAAAATGAAGCATCACCAGCACAGAGCAGAGCAGGACAATGATGCTGTGCCTGATGCACCCCAGGACAGCTGGTCCCCCTTGGCTGCTAGGACACCCTGCTGACTCATATTCAACTTGATATCAACCAAGACCCCCAAGTCCTTTTCCGTGGCACTGCTCTCCAGTCTCTCCTTCCCCAGTCTGTAGGTACATCCAGGTCCCCAGTCTGGTCTCAGGTGCAGAATCCAGCACTTGCTCTTGTTAAACTTCATTGAGTTGATGATTGCTCAACCCTCTAATTTGTCAAGATCTCTCTGGAGGGCCTCTCTCCCCTGCAGGGAGTCAACAGCTCCTCCCTGGTTAGTGTTGTCAGCAAACTTAGTATACCTTCAAGTCCTGAGTACAAATTTTTCATTAAGACATTGAGGAGAACTAGCCCTAAAATGGAGCCCCACAGAACCCCACTGGTGACTGGTCACCAGCCTAATGTGACTCCATTTACCTTCTATGCCTGATCCATGAGCCAATTGCTCACTCATCACATGACTTGCTTATCCAGCTGTGTTCTGGACATTTTGTCCAGAAGGATACTGTGAGACACAGTATCAAAAACTTTACTGAAATGCAAAAAGATTACACCAGCTGGCTTCTCTTGATCAGCCAGGTAGGTTACCTTGTCATAGAAGGAAACTAAGTTAGTTAAAGAGGACTTTCCCCTAGTCTGACTTTCGTCTGACTACGACCAGTGACTGAGTTGTCTCTCAAGTGTTGTTCAGTAACTCCCAGAATAACCTTCTTCATAATTTTATCAGGCACTGAAGTTACACTGACAGGCCTGTAGTTTCCAAGGTCATCCTTCTGCTCTTCCTGAAAACTGGAACAATATTCACCACCTTCCAGTCAACTGGAACCTTTCAAAATTCCCAAGACCATTTAAAACTCATTGAGAAATGTCTTATGATGACATCAGCCAGGTCTTCACGTAGCCTTGGATGAATCCCATCAGGCCCCATAGACTTAAAAGGATCCAGCTGGAGCAGCAAATCCTGGACACATTTGGGGTTGGGTGGAAGTTTACCACTCCCGCAGTCATGATCCTCCAAGCTTTAACACCACCATGAGGGTTGAAGACCAAGACCCAGTAAGAACTAAAGGTCTCCATTTTGTCTGAGTACCTGTTTATGAGGTGACCATCTTCATCAAGTGATAGGCCAATGCTATTTCTGGTCTGCATTTTGCTATTAACACACTTTTAAAAGCCCTTCTAATCGTTCCACACAGCACTGGCCAGCTTCATCTGTAAGTGACCTTTGGCCACATGAATTTTCTCCCTACAATGGTGAGCTGCATCTCTATAGTCCTCCCATGTCCATGGTATTCCCAGTCAACATCTGGCAAGTTAGAGCCACCATAAGGACAGGGGCAATTGGTTTAAAGGTGTACCTTAGTTCCTCAAGGAACAGTCAGTCATGTCATTCTAAGTGAGTGGTCTATAAATGACATCTGCTTCACCTGTTTGCCTCTTAATCCTTACCCAGAGGACCTGAATCATCTCAACTGCAATCTCTATACGTTCCAGCCCCTCCATTAGATACAACACCACTCTCCCACCTCACCTGCCCTTCTACGGCCCCTGAAAAGCATGTAACCATCCCTAACACCCCGGTCACAGAGCTTATCCCACCAGGTTTCACTTATTCCAATAGTGTTGCATCTCTAGGACTAGGCCAAGGCTTTCTGTTTCCATAGCCAATGGTGGGAAAAAAAGAAACAGAACAATGCACATTGCACTTTTCATACTCATGAAGAGTAAGAGGAAATGAAAGTTTCTTCGGCAGGTATTACAGAAGAGAGTTCTCTGGTCCAATGTATACATAAACTCTATAACAAAAAAAAAAAAAGAGAGATCTGTCTAATCTATCACTGCAATTCTGTGGTTGCCAGAAGCAGTAAGAATCTTACAGACCTGACACGACAAGCTCATCCTCAGAGCTACTTTTTGCCTTCCAATGCACTGTCTTGTGATATCACTGACAGTGTCAACTAGTCAGCCACAAAAATAATTAATTACTTTAATAATGACAACAAACTCACTGGAGTTTTACATAAGATGCAGCACTCAAAGTACATTAATACAAACAGCAGTTAGATGCGTTGTTTCTCCTAGACACAGCTAGACCAAAATCAGAGGGATAAAGTCACTATGCACTTTGCTTTTCTCTTTGTAAGGTAATACATCAAATTTTAAGTCAGTACACAACTCTAGTACAAACAAAGCATATTCCATGTTAAATTAGTGCATGTCTAAAAGATAAATCTGACATTACTTGTGAAACATGTTCTCAGTTTTCAGATTCTGAGTTCTGAACTAGTAAGGATTTATGCACACGCTCACTTAGCATGAAGGAACACTCTTTTATATAACAAAGTACCTACCTGTGCTCTGCCTCAAGTGAGCTTGAAAGAACATTTTCCTGAGGGGAAGCTGAAGACTGAGTGATCTGTTGAGGTGTAGTTGAAGAACTGCCATTCTCCTGTGGACTTTCACTTTCATAGTTTTGGTTCGTATCTCTCTTATGATGAGGATTGCTGCTGTTATGCAAGTCAAAGGACTCATCATCCTGTTAAAAGCGATTTTATGTTATGAAGTTTAAAAGTGAAACCCTACACAAGTAAATACCCAGAAGTGCTGCAATTCAGCGATTCTATTTAGTTTAAGTTTAAACGAAGACACTCCGTACTACTTCAGGGCTAGTTCTCTAGTTCATACTTCTAGAGTGTGCAATACTGCATACTACCGAAATCTTAAGGTATGCTACAGAAAGCAACTCCCATGATTTCCCTCAAACATTTTTTCTGCAAAGTTTCAAACATATCTTAAAATTCAAACTTACTTAAATAACAGGTTATCTGTAGAACTTACAAAGGTCTTAATTAAACATTCACCATTTTTTTACTGTGCGGGTGGTGAGACACTGGCACAGGTTGCTCAGGGAAGTAGTGGATGCCTCAACCCTGGCAGTGTTCAAAGCCAGGCTGGATAAAGCCTTGAGCAACCTGGTCTAGTGGGACGTGTCCCTGCCCACAGCAAGGTGGTTTGGGACTAGATGATCTCTAAGGTCCATTCCAATCCCTTAACTTACTATGAAACATCAGAGTCATGTCTGTCAGGAGAAATCTGAGAGCATCAGAGTTCTCAAGTTTACTTAGTGTAAGGGGCAAGTCACAACTGCCATATCTCAACCAGCAAATTCATCTGCCATGAGTTCAGAAAGACTGAATGCTGCTCTCTAAGTTCAGGATACTACTCCTACACACACATGCACTCACCTCAGCTTCTCAGGCTGTAGTGAACAGCAATTGTAAATTACTAGCCATGAAGCATTAGCTAGGAAGAAAGTTGCTGTAGAAAGCAGATAGTTCAAGTTTACTTAAAGATTAAAAGGTCTTCAACCTCTAAACCAGAGGTGTTTCTTTTAGTTCCACCCACTCGGCAACCTGCAATTCTTATTTAGTAATTAGCCAAATAGCCTCAGAAGTCTTAGCAGCTCTAAGAACAAAGGGAGGAGTACGATCATTACCAAGTTAACACCCCTTCAATGACAAAATCCCTAAACTGGGCATATAACAGCATTATCCACAGCAGGAGGCAATCACACAAACTGGGAGTTCTGCACTTGTCAGAAACCACACTTCAGAGCCCAGGATCTAGACCATCATCATTTCCCTCCCACTCATAGTATTGTCTGCTTTCAGAAATTTTAGAATGCACAGCAAGAAACTGAGAGCACATGAACACATACTGTTAAGTGCAGTAAACACACATTCAGCTGTTAAATCGTATGCCTTAAGAATGCATCTCAGACTATCGAGAAAAATTCCTAAAAATGTCAAACAATTTTAACATACAGGACAAAATAGCTTTCTTCCAAGCATGATTCAGCTGCTGAGTGCAATTTGCTTCATTATTTCAGAATTCTGAAGCTCTAGCCAGTGTTTACCAATATCTTTTTAATTCTAAATCAAAGTCTTTGTATATTTCTTGAACACATGAACACTAGTACCCAGGATACCCATCTCAAGGTGCTCAGCCACAGAATGCAAAATGAAAACATGCAGACCTTTTTTTACTCACACATACAGCTAAGTCCTACAGACCCACTACTGTGGGAGATCGACGGGAGAAATGCGCACCCGATGGTGTCCAGCAAGACTCGTTTATTGTAAACCATCATCCATCTTTTATACAGTGCATGAACAACTATGCTTATTGTTCTCTTTACCATTACCTAAACTCTAAAAGTTACATTTGTATACTTTCTTAGCTTGCAGGACAACTATACCTATGATTCATTTTAGCATTACCTAAGCTCTACAGGTTACATTTATTTAGTATGTCTGCTTGCAGATGCAGCTGTGAAGAAGTCTTTGTTTTCTAAAGAATCCTTCTTTGTTTTCCCAGAATAGTTCATCCTTGGGTTTGCAACATTGCTGAGCTTTCCCAGATAGCTTGTCCTTTGGCTGCAACATTATGCTGCAAAAATAACTTCTAATGCTGAGAAGCTAAACGCCTGAGGCCTACTTCTTAGTTATATGCTCAAAGCTCCCATAAGCCTTTGCTCGACTCTTGCTCGCACAATGCTCTCTGGGAGCTGTGCCCCTGTTCCCTTAGCCATTCTTCAACACACTACAGCAAATTTTATTTTGTCTGAAACAAGTACAGGGTCAGAAAAGTCAATCTTGCTTTTATGAGCAATGTACACTGCCACTGCTTTCCTGTCTCTGAATCCAAATAAACCCTCCTCAAACCCCACTCATTTATCTGGCTGATTTGTAATTTATGATCTTTTTGTTTTGATTAAACATTTTAAACCACTCATTTACAGTGAGGAAGCTTGTAATCACCTCATTCTGAACATTAAAACACTTCTCTTCACTTGGACTATGTACGATAAATTGTTGGTGGCTGCTAGTGTTGACACACATTCTCTGGTGTCAGCCAAGCACTGCACAAATTGATTCAGACTGAAAGAAACCTGATGCATGTTATACACAGGCATTATAGGCCTCCAAGTTCCCAATTAGGAAGTAAAAACAGGTGCTTTACTTAAAAATATATTGAGCTATTGCTCCTATGATTAGATCAAGAATAGCGAACTCCTGGCTACCTAAACACTAAATAGACAGGAAACTGTTGGAGAAGCAGAACCAAGGTTTTTCGCTAGTTGTTTCATAGGATAACTGACAGCCAAAGTATGAATCACTGCCCTCCACAAGTCTACGGGGCTGGATGGGATCCAGGCAAGAGTACTGAGGGAACTGGCAGAAGTGCTCGCTGAGCCACTTTCCATCACTTACCAGCAGTCCTGGATGACCACAGAGGTCCCAGGTGACAGGAGGTTGGCAAACATGATGCCCATCTACAAGAAGGGATGGAAGGATATTCTAGGGAACTACAGGCCTGTCAGACCTCAGCATCAAGGAAGGCAAAGGAGCAGATCACTGTGAGCGCCATGACACAGCTCAGAGGTGACCTTATCGCTCTCTACAACTTTGTGAAAGGATGCTGTGGCAAGGTAAGGGTCAATCTCTTCTCCATTTGCGATAGGACAAGTGGAAATGGCCTGAAGTTGTGCCTGGGGAGGTTCAGGCTGGACATCAGAAGAATTTCTTCATGAAAAGGGTTGGCAAGCACTGGAACAGACTTCCTAGGGAGGTGGCTGAGTCACCATCCCTGGAGACATTTAAAAGATATGCAGATCTGGCACTTGGGGACGTAGTTTAGTACTGCACTTGGCAGTGCTGGGTCAATGGCTGGACTCAATGGTCTTAAAGGTCTTTCCCAACATAAGTGATTCTATGATTAGGTTAGTTTACTAAGCTTAATTAATTCTTTTTATTGTTGGTAAAGACACATATGTATCCAAGCTGTTAACATGTACTAACAGACACTGCAGAAAGAAAAAGAAACTACTAAGAAGCAGTGGAGAAAGAGCAGTACTTGGAACAATCTTCTTCAAACTATCAAAATACCACGCCTTTACTGCATTTAGAGATCCAAGACCATGACTTAACAGCTGTTTACAGCAAAATAAAAAGTAGTTTATCAGTTGTCTGAAAACTACTACTGCTGGATCTACAATAAGTAAGAACAAAACTACCTTCTCTTGTCCATCATGATTCTCATCTTCATGTTCCTTTTTCACTCTGTCTTGTTTCAGCGTTTTCAGAAATTCACTCTTCTTATCAGTCCGTATTCTTGTCAGTTTTGTTAAGCGAGGCTGATCAGTTTGGTCAACAGGGGATGAAGAATTTGACCGGTTATACTGATGCAGGAAGACAAAAAAAGGATGTTAGAAATTCATTCATTAAGAAAACTCGGCATGAAAGAAAGGCACCTGTAGTTGCAGGTTTCACATATATCCCACAGTCAGAAGCAGAGGGAAGGCTTATATCTTGGTATATACAGTCAGTACATGTAAACGCAGAGATACAGGTATATGGAGCACTTCTAATGGACACAGACCTTCTGCAGAGTATAATACTGTCAGCAGTTTTGAAGTGTAAACCTTCATCAGGTTATATTTCTTAATGTCAGGCTGTACTTCCCACTGCCAGGCTTTTATTCCACATGAAACCCACAAAGGAAACTGTGCAGTACTTAAAGGCCTTCCATCTTTATCACACATTAACTTCCAAAAAAACATGCTTAATTCAATTCTGCATAAAACTTACTGGTCCCCCTCATCTAAACAAATTAAACCTTTTATATATTGATGATTCCAATGGAATGAGGTTTAACAGGCCAAGTGCTGGTCCTGCATTTGGCCATACCAAGGCCATGCAGCACTACAGGCAGGGGGCAGAGTGGCTGGAGACCAGCCAGGCAG